AAAATGCATTATCTAAGGTACTTAAAATTAAACTCCATTATTTTAGCGTTGATGTGTGAATTTACTTTAGATGTCCCTGATCTATTTACTCTTTCTGACAGAGTCTACTTTTCCAGATGCTCCTCAAACGAAGATGCATTCCTCATTCTTGCATGCTGCTTTTCTCCTTGTACTAGTGCAGCCTTTCTTCTGTCTTTCCCTTTCTCTTACAACTTCATTCTCTACTTCTGATCCTGTCCAGATTGTGCTCTCACTGTAAACAATAAATTAAATAGAATGCATCAGAAAAAATGTCACAAAATTCACTTTTTCCAAAACTTATTTGCCTAATATCATTCAAATTTTTGTTGAACATCTCCTGCATGGCATCCAACATGGCCATTGTTTTTCTATATACTTACAAAAGATATTAGCTCCTATTTCCATCCCAATTTGTCTGTTGCAAAAAAACCTTTACATAAATCCAGCAAAGTTTCAGATTTTACGTATGAAACATCTTACTTTTTAAAAGTACCCCATACTAATTAAATAAAAACAATATCCAAACTAACAGTGCTTTTCTAGTCACATCTTGTCATCTTTGAAGGTCCAATAATTACTTTTTATTTTTTTAAAAATAAAGATAATACAATACTATTTGCCTTTTATTAATGTCTATTCCACAAGAGAAAATGTTCCACATCAAAATCACATTAATGAGAACAAAGGATTCCTCAAAATAGCCTAATTTCTCATAAGGATCTGTATTAACTCATATAAAGTCACACCTATAATGAATTTCAATCTTCATTTGTTGCAAATAAATTAACTGTGGAGTACTTTTTTATTTAAGAGTTTTTATTACCTTTTGCTGTTTTAAGCCTTGATAATATTCACAGGGTAAGCTCTACCATATCTGTCAACAGAAAAACCCATCTGAATCTCTAATTTGGATCTAGAAATCCTGTAAAACAACCCCAGGAACAGGTACTGATGTGGTAACATGGCCTTTCCTCCCAGACCCCTGGCCAATTTCTTATGCCTGGGTGCTCCATTATATCAGTACTGACATTCAGGCAGTTGCCTGAGAGACTAAAAGCCTATTATCTCCTTAGGAAAAGCTTTATTCCAAGGCAAACTATTTCTTCTGGTCAAATCTTAATTTTGATTAATTATGTCAAAATTTGTTGCTTGACATTTGGCATGTCATTTTTGCTACAGCTACAACCCATAATAGATTAGTCTTCTCTTGCTCATTTCATTTCACCCAAAGAGTAGATGTACAATAAGTTAGCAAATGCACCTCTAAAAATGTACTCAGGAAGAGAAAATTTCCAAACTACTGAAATAAACAGCAATTGACAGAAAAGAAAAAGATCCATGAATCATCTAATGCAAATATCGGCATTGTTATAAAGTACAATGTTCACAACAACTACCAAGTATCACCCAAGCAAAACCACTTAAAAGTTAGCTCATCAATAATAAAATTCATTAGATTCTTTACTTTCCTCCAGTGAACAACATTAATTATCCAATTTTATGTTTCCAACATAAATATACTACATTTTTACACTTAATTCCACATTCATTCATTCAGCTAACTTCTAAAACATGCCCACCGCTGAGTGCCAGGTACCATTTTATCTCCCTTTTTCACCATGGCATTGTATAAAAAAGTGATACCTGGCCCATTCAAAAAGATACTTTAAAAAAAAAAAAAAAAAGCCATGAAATTTCCAAACAATCAAATTGAAATATAAACTTTCTCACCAGAATTTACAATTGCAGACACAGTGCTGCTGGTCATTTTTCTAAAAACGTTACATAAGCAAAAGCACAAATCCCTGTGTGGGGCCTTCAAATGTCCTATTTACCTTTATTCAAGATGACAACAGCATTAACATTTAAGTGTTCAATAAATACATGAAGAAAAATAAACTAATAATGCTATTTTTTAGAGGATAACAATAGTAATAGCTAATATATACAGAGATTCACAATATGCCAGGCTAAAATCGAAGTAACCATTCTCACTTAATCCCCACATCATCTCTAGGGAATGGACATTATTTTAATCTCTATTTCACAGAAGACGAAACTGGCCTTACCTTACTTGAGGTCACTCAGCTACAGAGAGCTGGAATTCAAACCCAGGTCTATCAGTGTCCAAAACTGTACCTTGATCATACTATACTGCTTGGTGTATACCCAATTGAAGTCTAAAGCTTTTGAATGTCTTATTAGGAAGGTTACTTTTAAGAACAAGTTTCTTGCTTAAAATGAACCTTTCTCATAATACATTAATTTTTTAACAATAAATATGGCATGCTCTTACAAGTCTAAATCTATCAGAATGAAACTCTGAATCCCTATGTAGTAGCTCAGAGACTCATTGGAGCTGGACTAGATCTTGAGGGTCATCTCATCTAGTCCAAATTCTTAATTTTAGGAATAATAAAACACATCTTTTGGAAAAAAATCTATACTCAATCTAAACTACCACATTCTCAATCCAGAAATACTTTTTTTCCAAATCACAACCTTAACAGATAATCTAACATTTTAACATCACACAACCTTAATAGACAATCTAACATTTTAACATCACACAACCTTAATAGACAATCTAACATTTTAACATCACACAGAGCAAGGTATCCCTTTCAGAAGCAGTGTCAGAAAATACAAGCCCTATGACATGAATCCAGACAAATGCAGGGCTATTATCAGTTGAAAGCTTGAATATTATCATAAGACATGTTATAGAAAGCTATAAAATGGCATCCTTAACTATAAGAACTCAAACCCAAAAAACAGCCATTTCTTCCTTGAATTAAATTTACATTCATTTGGGTCAACTGGCAGCACAGTATCATTTCAAAGGTCATGTCATGTGACTGAAATGAAGCTCAATTCAAGAGAAAAGCCGTCCTATGCTGCATTTAGAACACATATCACTGAGAGCAGCCAGATGAGTCTTTGTAGGCCTATCCAAAACCTTGCTTTAGTTGCTAAGAAACTACAATTTCACTGTATTATAAATCACTGGGGAAAAGCTATGCCCACAGGGATTAAACATACTAAGATCAAGAACCTCTCACCTACTGTGAAAAAGGAAGCCATGGTATTTCCATAAATTGAATAAATGAAATTAGCATCCTTAAATTATATTGTTAACACAGCTGAAAAACTGATATGACAAATCTGACCACCTTTACCCTGCATTTCACAGTGACTTCATTCTTTTAAAGGAAAACAGGAAAACACCCAATACATTTATCACATTCAATGCTAGACACAGAAAAATGTTTCCTTCTTGACCTCTGCAGTGATAATCCAGGACCACGAAACATACATAAAATTTGATTAGTACAATTTGGTACAAAAAAAATGTATATTTAATCAGTGATGCTTTTTCAATCCTTTATTGATATATTTTCATGGTAATCTTCAGTATTTTAAGATGTTTCTCCTTAGAATACTCCACTGGCTCTATCACTGATTTTTAAAAATTAAAGTCATTTTAAATTCCAGGCTTTCTAACAAGAGTAATGTTAAACTGTTCTAGCATAATAAAGAAACATCAAAAGATTAGCAAAAATAATTTATAGTTCACTCTTGAGTACTGACTTCTCATAAATTCATTAGAAAAATGTTTTTTAATCTCTTAATGGCTAGCTCCACAAGAGCAGAAACAGGTTCATAATCCTTCAAGTCTCACTTCTGAAAGATCAATTCAGCAGCTGAACTGTAACACATGCCTTCAATCAGAATCTGTTTCCTCTAGATTCCCCCATGTCCATGATACCCCCCTCACACACACACCCGATTTCTCCTTCTCTAAAGAGCTTCAGTTCAAAACCCAGTAATTCATTTCCATGATACCCACATCCCAGGGACCACTTTTATGTTCTCAGAAATAATATCTCTTCTGTCTTCAAACTTTTAGATCTCAATAACACACCTCCATTTCGTTCTCACACCAGGCACTGCCCCCAGTCCCACCAATGCAGTTGCAGCTGTGTCCCTATCTTCCCAAAGGGCCAATAAATATCCCACAGCTTTTACCACAACCCACTCCTTCCTTCCTAATTTATCCCCCGCACTGCAAACCAATATTACACCCCCAGCTTTCTGCATTTTACTCCCTTCTCTTATTTTTCATCTTCTTCCATCCCTATCTCTATTACCTCTACCTTCAGGTTCAACCCTTTCTCCTTTCCTCTGCTCATCTTCCTCTCCTTATTTAGAAACTCCTTTCTGCTTTCCCAACCACTACCCTAGAATGCCCAGCACTCCACCCTCTTTAACAAACCCAGCCCTCTTCCCCCAGCTCATTTAAACACACTGCTGCTTCCCTTTTCCAGGTCCCCTACTGCAGTCAACCCACTCCTTTATCTTTCCACCCACCTTCCCTCCACCCCCAGAGGCAAGGTTCCCTGATTCTTTACCCCCTCTCCGCAGGGCTCTAGTACTCAGCTCACCATCAGTATTCTTGAGGATTCCCTTCCCCTGATTTCTCCCTTATTTTTAAGGATGTCACCAGTCTTACGTGGCCTCAGTAGTTCCAGGGCGCCCCATTCCCTAGTGCAGGGCCCGACCAACACCACCCCCGGTTGCTGAAACACAAACGCCGGTCCTCTGCCACCTTCCTTAAGAGCTGCACCCCCTCCTTAGCCGCCCCCGCCACTCCACCTCCTTAAGTCGGCTTCCTCAGTGTCCCCTCGCCGACCCCGAGCGACGAGCCCCACGATGTGAAGCCTCTAAGTCAGCAACACCTTCAGCGCACACCGGACGCCCCCACCTCTCCGACAGGCGCCTCCCGTCCTCACACCCGCGCCTCTTCAAACCCCGGTCCAGCATCTCCTCCTCTCTGACTCGCAGACCCTCAGACTCCCGCCTGGTTCCCATCCCCTTGTTCCAGCACTTCCTCAGGCCCGGGCCTGGCCCCCTCCGGCCCCCTCCGGCCGCCAGCGCCCCTCAGCCCCCGCCCGGCCCGCCCCCGGCGCCCCGCTTACCGTTCTGAGCAGCGCCTGGCCCTGGGAAGAGGGAGCCAGAGACCAGCAGCAGCGAGAGGGCCAGGGCGCTGGGGAGCGACGAACCCGACATCCTCCCCAGCAGAAGACCCAACAGCTAATGGGCCAGGGCCGGAGCCGGAGCCGGGGCCCGGGAAGGGAGGGGAGGGAGGGAGGGGGCGGGCGAGTGCGCGAGGGAGTAAGCGAGGGAGGCAGCCACGGCTGGGCTCCGTCCTTCCCCGTCCTCCTCCTACCGCCGCAGCGCCCAAGCCTCGCGAGATCTTTGCCCCGAGCCGTGGGCGGTTGTGGAACGACGGCTGCAAAGCTCGCGAGAAGAGGCGGCCTCGACGGACGCTCCCGCCCCTCGGACTCCGTGTCTCCGCCCCTGCAGAGGCTGATTGGCCTGGCGCGAGGTAAGTCACGTGCCAAGGGCGCTTGTGGCCACGTGACGGGGCGAGGCGGCAGTCCGCCGGCTCTCTGGGCTGTGGAGAACCGAAAATCGCGCTTTCAGTTTATTGCTCCGTGGAACGGTAACGCCCATAAATGAAAGGAAGCTTTGGTAACATGGTAAATTTGCTCCCACCGTCCTGCCTTCATTTGTAGGAGCTCTTGACTGCAGAATTGAATACACCACCTCCTCTTTCTGCCTGCCTTATTATCCCCTATGCTGCTGTTTTTTCTTTCTAGAGTTTGACCACAGGTCTCTGCTTGCGTCTGGGCCCAACCTCCTCTCCTGTACTCTGCTTTTTTTCTCCTTGCAGTCAAAAGGATGTGCTGCCTGTGTCCGCTATTACCTTGTGCGTTTCTGCCTCGACATCTGCTTGAAATGTCCTCCTTTTCCTCCTCTGCCTGCTTCCCTCCCCCACTTTGCCCTTATTTTAGTTTCATCGACTCTCAGGGCCTGAAGTTCAGCTAGTCTAATTGCATGTCGATAAGATACAATTCCACAAGGAAGTCATCATGGATCCATCTATGTGAAGACTCCTTAGAAGCATTTTAATACAGTGAACATTTATTAAATACATGCTATGTAGCAGGCACATAGTGAAACCCATACAAATAAATAGTCTTTCATGGAGTTCACAGCGTTATTCTTTTAGAAGAGCGAGGAAGGAGTCTGTGACCCATAGGAAAGAAAGTAGCCAGCAAAGCATTCTAGAGGTTGATTGGCAATATGGTTACTACTATTTGCATGGAAGTTTGAGAAATGCCTTTTGTTAAGGGCATTTTTTTTTTTTTTGGTACGGCCCTGAGCACTGGTGGTTAGCAAAGGAGTTTGTATGCCTTAGCTCATTCCTGACTCAGACATCCTGGGGAGTGTCCATGAAGTGAAACTCTGAGAAACTCAGAAAATAGAACTAGTGACCTGGCTTAATTCAGAGAGAGCTTGGGGGAAAGATACTCTCACAGTCTCAAGCAGAGGTGTCCCACCTTTTTTCTTTTCTGCCACACATTGGAAGAATAAGTTATCTTGGGCCACACATTAAACACCAACAAAAGCTGATGAGCAAACCTTGCACAATATTAGACACCACGTATAAGCAAAACAGGTAATTTCTGTGGCTGCAGGTTGGACGCTGCTGCAGGCAGCCAAGCTACAGTTGGCGGTTCCAGACTGAACTTTCTAGCAAGGGCTGGGACCAACTATGGCATGTTGATTTAAGTGAAAACTATATCCTTCAAGACTGTGAAGTGAGTGACAAAAAGATTGGCATGAGGCTGGGCACAGTGGCAATAGTGCCTGTAAGGCTAGCACTCTGGGAGGCAGAGGCGGGTGGATTGTCCTGAGCTAATAGGTTGCAGACCTGTCTAAGCAAGAGTGAGACCTTGCCTCTAAAAATAGCTGGGTGTTAAGGCAGGTGCCTGAAGTCCCAGCTACTTGGGAGGCTGAGGTAAGGGAATTGCTTGAGCCCAAGAGTTTGAGGTTACTGTGAGCTAGGATACCACCACTCTACCAAGGTTGACAAAGTGAGGCTTTGCCTCAAAAGACAAAATTGACCTGTATCTTTGTCCAGAGAAAGGCCATTCTGCAGATAGCCCTGGAAGGAGGGCTACAGGACCACCTATGGACGGATCTATATTTTTAGCTGATTGAAGCTATGGTTGGGTGCAACAATTCTGCCTCACAATAACCATAACAAACATTTTTATTTGATCTTTACAACAAGGGATTCTTACAAAATGATTATGCTCTTTTTGTGGGTAAAGAAACTGAGGCTGAGAGAGAATATGACCTGCCCAGACTCTTGAAATATTTGTGCTACCTTAATGTCAAACAGTCTGAATGCCTGCCGTCAGGCACATGGTAGGAGGGCACCACTTTGCCCCCTTAAAGTTGGATGTGGCATGTGACTTGCTTCAGCGAGTGAAATGTGTAAAGTGACATGCATCATCTTCAAGCAGAAGCATTTCATTCCTAGTTTAGGTACTGTCACCTTTTTTGTCTTGGTAGTGACCACTGATGATGGTAAAAACACATGACATAATGAACCTTATGTCAGCATGTGTTCCTAAGTTAGCACAGTAACCTGAGTCCTCCTGCCAACCTATACAAAACAGATAGCATCTGCTAAAGTAGGCCGCTGAAATACAGCGGGGTTTGTTCCTACAGTGTAACCTGGACTGTGCTGATTAGGAGAAGATGAAATTCAAATCTGCAACACCATCTTCTAGCTATGTCCCCTTAGGCAAGTGACCCTATGGTAAAAAGTGCTAAAAAAGTACAGCTACCATCATCATATGGGATTTGGTGACATTTTCTCCTTGGTAAAAGGAGTCCTCATAATAGCATAATGGAGAGTTGACTGGTAAAACCCATACTTAAAATTTTTCTTCCTATTTCTATATACATGACATGATCTCATTTTTCTATCAAATGGGATTAAAGATAGTTCCTGCCTCATAAAATTAAGAGAAGAATAAATGAGTAGATCTGGGTGCAATTTTAGAACCGTTCTGGTGCAAACACTCAGATGTTGATGATGGTGCTACTACTATAGTTCAGACTCCAGCTGTGATTCTCCCACTATGTCATGTATATAAAAATAGGAAGAAAAATTTTAAGTACGGGGTTTTACCAGTCAACTCTCCATTATGCTATTATGAGGACTCCTTTTACCAAGGAGAAAATGTCACCAAATCCCATATGTTGATGGTAGCTGTATTTTTTTAGTCTCCTTTTGTTGAGAAAATACACAAAAACTAAAACCTTCCAGTAATTCAATAACCTTCTTAAAGGAATTTAGGAATTTGGATTTTTGTTCTTGTTGAAGATTTACATACCTTTTTAAGAAATCTTTGCAAGTAAGCGCTGTTGTGCCGGAGGGTGGCTGAGCTCCTTGCAATACCTTAGACGAGCCCTAGGGGTCCTCGGAGCTCAGGCTGAGACACACTTTCCTGGCCTCCAGGGATTGCTTTGAGGTCGGGTTTCCAGCATTGACGGCGCCCCCTGGTGGGAAGACCTAAAATGCAGCATTTCTGATTGAAACGCTGCTTGTGGATTGGTTTGGTGTGCTGTTGGAAGAATGTCAGTCAAAACGATAGTAGTAATAGTATTCGTTGAATTGACCTGGAACTTCCCAAAGTTTTCCCCGCCCTTTGGAAAGATCGCTGCTGCTTAAAAGCTCTTACTATTCAGATATATCAGCCCACCCATCTTGTTTGCTGTAAATCTTCTGACCTCCCAAGCAATATAATCTTTTCCCTGCTCTTTCCAACTCCTAGCCCCATCCTTGAACTCTATGGGTGAGTTCAACATCCATGTTAATGACCTGTTCAATACTCTGATCTCTCAATCCTTTTACCTTCTCATTGTCAATAGCTTTCTCCTGAACTGAACTACTCCTTCCAAGGTTACACCTTCAACAATTTAATCTCCCCAACTAACGATCTTTGAATATGAAACTATAATACCCTACTCTCCTTCACCACCACTTACCCTTTCATTTCCTCCTACTAGTACCTCATTTGCTATCATTCTTCAGCCTCACTGAGACCACAATCCATTCATCCCACCACTTTCTCTTGTTCGTTCTTGATTTCTCTCTTGGGTTTAGAGCCCATGATTCATCATTATAACCATCCCTTTTTGCCCACTTCAATCTCCAACATACTTTCCTGGAAAAACCACAACCTGATTGAACACTATAACCTGAGATAGGGTTTCATGCCTGTACCTTAGCAGCTGAATGTTGCTGGAGAAAAATCACACAAACAAGCTGAATGACTTCATTTTTAATTTATAATCTTAAACCTCAAAAGGTACTCAATATTGCCCAGCAATCCTCTACTTTCCTATGTGGTAAGCATGAATTTGCAGCTACAATGGTGACGTGCAAGAAATGCCTCATTCATTTCTCTAAATCAAATTTTATCTATTCTGAGCACTTTTCTGCTAAGATGACAAGAAATTCCATTTTGGTCTTTATGAGCTTCCTTCCCTACTTCCTAGGAAAATATGAAATTCATGAGATTTTATGCAAGGCAAGTTATTTGGTTTTTTTTATGTTTGTGTTTTAGTTCACTATGGTCACTGCTGGGTATGCTTTGACCAAATCCACATTATCCCTTGAAAGCAGATGGTTCATTACAGCCCCAGCAGCTCCACCACACTACATTCCCTTTCAGTTCTTTGTGATTGTATTGCTCCTTTTTACCTTGGGGCCTTTGCATATTTTGTTCTGTTTCCAAAAGGCACAATACCCCATCCCCTTCATCTGGTCTACTTTTCATCATCCTTTAGAGCAGTGGTTCTCAACCTCCCTAATGCCGCGGACCTATAATACAGTTCCTGTGGGTCACGACAGATTGACAACCGCTTCTTTAGAGGTTAGCTTTAAATCATCCCTCCTAATACGAAGATTAAAACCACACACACACATATATTTAACGACTTTAAAATCTGAAAATATCAAATATTGATGAGGATATGAATCAACTGGAACGCTCAAACACCACTAATATGCATATAAAAATGGCAAAACTGGTGGGGTGCAGTGGCTCATGCCTGTAATCCTAGTACTTTGGGAGGCTGAGGCAGGTGGATTGCTTGAGCTCAGGAGTTTGAGACCAGCTTGAGAAAGAATAAGATCCTGTCTCTACCAAAAATAGAAAAACTAACCGAGCATGGTGGTATAGGCCTGTAGTCACAGCTACTAGGGAGGTTGAGACAAGAGGATTGCTGAAGCCCAAGAGTTTAATGTTACTTAGAGCTATGACACCAGGGCACTCTGCCCAGGGTGACAGAGTGAGACTCTTTCTCAAAAAAAAAAAAAAAAAAAAACAGCCGAGGCAGGTAG